TATTTCTCTCTTTATTTCTCTCTATATATTTCTCTCTTTTCCCCTCTATATTTCTCTCCTTATTTCTCTCTCTATATTTCTCTCTTTATTTCTCTCTATATATTTCTCTCTTTTCCCCTCTATATTTCTCTCCTTATTTCTCTCTCTATATTTCTCTCTTTATTTCTCTCTATATATTTCTCTCTATACATTTCTCTGTATATATTTCTCTCTCTCGCTCTTCCTCGCGCTTGTCGTTCCTTGAGAGAGATAGAGGGGGTGTGCGCGAATTCGAGATCAAGGTCGCTGTCGCGGACCGCTCGGGTTGTAGCATTACATCAAGTTTCGACTATTCTATTCGCCCGGTGTACCGAGCGGCAGGCGGTGGACACGTCCCGGTCCGATCGTCCGAGTGAAACGACGCTGCTCCGCTAGGATGGGTGACCTGACCGGGAGACGGGGGAGGGGGGACACAAAGGGAAAAGTCCTATCAGAACTTTTGCGATTCAGAGGGGAAGAAGAAAAACCAGTTTTTTTCCCGGAGGGTCTCCGACACCCCCGTCCTTTTCGGGGTTATCGATTGTGTGCTTGTGTGTGCTGCTGCTTTGTTGTTTGTCGACGAAGAAGGAGGAAAGATGTATTATCCGGAAGGAGAAACGATGCGGGAGAACACAAGGGGGCGAAGGAGGAGGGGGAGAGGATGGATCGTGACATGAAATATTTTCTAGGGGATCTTTTCGTTTCCAAGATATTAGTGAGAAACTTCGTATACTACTCTGTGATTGCTGCGTACACCTACGCGGCCGTTACGGCCGTGTGTATGTCGGCGTGGGGCCCCCCCACTTCATCTAGCCCTTAACGCGGTGCGAATGTAACGGGTGGGTTTGTCGGGAAAAGCCGGGGGTTCGATATATTACGGCCAGGGGTCGAGAAAAATCTATTCGAAATTTTTATTCGGCGAATTTATTCGAAATATTTGTCGAATTAAATTTTGGTCGAAGAATTTATTCGAAATATTACACGAATTAAATTTTAGTCGAAGAATTTATTCGAAATATTACACGAATATAATTTTCTTCCAAATTTTATTCAATGAATTATTTCGAGATTTTATTCTCTATAGAGAATTGTGATTTCTTAGTATTTAAGATCTTCGTTGTGAGCGACGAGTATACTCATCATAAACAGACTGTTTTTCATTAAAATCAAAATTGTGTTAGTTAAATTACAAGAAATATAAATTCGATGCAAATATCTCGTCTCTTTTAGCAATCGTATTCACAATTGTAAATAATATAACGATATCCTTAAATTCTTCTAATATTTTTTTAGTTTGGTTTTTCACCAAATTTATTTCCATCATAAACGCAAAAAATTTGTAGTCCAGTCATAAAAAAAATGAAAGTTTCACATCTTAAAAAGTAGATAGTTCTCTTACGATTGAAGTAAAAATTCTTGTGAAACTTGTTCGGGACTCTCACACATTTTAGAAGAATTTTAGAAGAATTTGTCGAAACCAACTGTACCCGGTGTGATCGACAAAACGCGGACGAAATTGATCATAAAAATTGATCTATCAGTTGTACCAATATATTTGTAGTAAACGAAAATTATAAAATAATTAGAGTTCACAAAAGATGTTCAGAAATTGTCAAAGAACGTAGAATCGAATCGAATCCAGTGGAATAATAATCTGAACTAAAAGTGAAATCTGCATCCGGTTGAGTCCAATGAAATTTCCCAAGAACGGTTGCTGCTCGGTAAAAAGCGGCACCGCGTAGATTCCGAGGCCGGTGCCGTTGCTACGTCATCGGCTGCTGGATTTCAGTTGACAGCCGACGGCCGATACTGCCACAGCGAAGATGCCTAGCGTCGCTGTCATCTGTACGAACCAGTTTACCGTTCTCGACGATTATACTCGTCGCGAAGAAACGACGATACGACTCGCCTTGCGACTCGCCATCCTACAAATTTGCTGTTCAAATTGCAATTTCAGCGGAAACCAAAGAAAAACATATTCATCGACGTTCCGAACATTTGGAGGCCGAGACGAAGTAAAACGAACAATAGAAAAGATATAAATAATTCTTACAGAAAACTGTACACATTTGTAATATATATTTCAATTATAATTAATTTTTAGTTTGATACTGGATATTAATTTGTAGAAGCAACAACAAGACGTTTATTCTGATTTCTAAAAAAATCTATATAAATTTATACAAATTATTTGCATAAACAACTCAATTCTAACTTAATAAAAATCAGTGACCCGTCGTTTCGACGGGTTCCGTACCCCTAACATTAACTAGAATATTAGCGCTTTAAGTAATATACTCGTCTCGTCGCTTTTGCGACACATTTCAGGCACTAGCTTTCCATAGTAGTCGCAACAGCTAATCAGTTAAACGTCGTCGACGTGTACAGCGTTCTCGTTAATATCTTGGAAAACGCTCGCGACGCTGAAATCTGATGTTTCGGATAGAAAATGGCCGGGTGTCCGACATTTTGGGTTGGGCCGGGAGTTTTCCTCGGGGCTGGGTCGGGTCCCGAAAATTGATGATGCCGGGGTACCCCGAAACGGGTGGTAATATATTTCAGGGTCCCCGAGTCGGCCCTACCTGGCTCTCGGGTAGCCGAAATTCTCGGGGTCCGGACCCGAGTCACGCACGAAATCTTCGGGCGTCTGGCCACCCTTAATCTACGGTCCTCTGGACCTCGGTCCTCTGAGAACCCTCTTCAAATATCCGGCGCTCTGACAATTGCCCCATAGCGACTCGGGTCGTGCGGTTTATCGACGGAGCAGGAGCGTAGTCGTTCGTGAAAGTGATATTTGGGGAGATAGTGTTGTGGCGGCCTTGCATCGCGGTCAGGATCGAAGTGTGAAGAAAATGTGGAGAGAGGGTTTGTGTGTGCGCGAAGGATGCCGAAGGAGAGAGTGAGCGAGCGAGCGAGAGAGAGAGAGAGAGAGAGCGAGAGAGAGAAAGGGGAGATGATGTAGTGGGGAATTCGATCGAAACAATGCAGTGAGCGCTTGGTAACCGCTTGATCGA